TGTCTATATAGATATGTGTGTATATATTTATATATATATATATATAAATGTGTCTATGTAGATATGTGTGTATATATATATATATATATATATAAATGTGTCTATATAGATATGTGTGTATATATATTTATATATATATATATATATATAAATGTGTCTATATAGATATATAAATGTGTATATATTTATATATATATATATATATATATATAAATGTGTCTATATAGATATGTGTGTGTATATATTTATATATATATATATATATATATAAAAATGTGTCTATATAGATATGTGTGTGTATATATTTATATATATATATATATATATGTATATATATATATATATATATATATATATATATATATATAACAATGGACTTTCCACCGGTTTCGACGTATGAGGATCTGAGAACTTATTGATTGAGTTATGAAAGTTTGTGTGATAATCTTAAGTGGCATTTAAGACCCACTAGTGATTTACAAAGGAGGCCACATATGGAGCAAGTGTGAGGATTGTGAAATGAGATCACTGTTAGATTGGCTGACCTTTTAGATCTTGCTCTCACTTCTTGGAGATGATTCAGACAAGCAGATTGAAAATTGCTGAGTCCACTAAAACACATTGATCTCCATTCTGTCTGCTCCAAAGCTAAGCGCTCAAGGATGTTATGTGGTATATATATATATATATATATATATAATATAATGTGTGTGGATAAGTAGTTAGAATAGTCACTTTCCAGCCATGAGGTTAAAGTTTGACTCTCACCATGATAAATATGTCAAAGAGGTTATTCATGATGAAATCAGGCTGTGGAGGTTATCCCCCTTGTTGCCCGTTTGGAAAATACCTGAAAACCAAGCCTTGTGAGTAAAATTGGGGAGATAAAAATATCTGGAATTCATTGCTGTTTGTGCTAACACTATGTCATGACTCATTTTGGTGAGGGATTTGTGTATACCGGTCTTATTAAAACAGACAATCATACCAGATTTTGCTCTCTCTTTCAGAAACTGTAACTTGGGTCTATTCAACATAGTTGCAGTATAAATTACAGTAATGTTGAACAAACACAAATTTGCCTGAGTAGGCATCTACAGCAGGGATTGTCTAGCTGCCCTAGCAAACAGTATATTTGGAAAACCAGTATGTACATTTCAAAAGTTTGTTGCAACCCATGGTAATTTTTTAAATTGGCCCAGAAAGTAGTTGCTTTGAACTTTAAATAAGAGAAAATTATTATTCATGGTGATTTTATGATTAAATTTTGCTCTTGTCAAAATATCCTCCATTAGGCTTGATTACTGCAGCACAAATTTTTGGCATGTGTTGCAAAAGTTTCTCAAAGTATAAATTTCATAATTGATTATATTCTTTTTTCAATGACTCTAAGTGTTGTAGTAAAGCCTCCTACAGTAGAATGAATTCTTCCTCCTCTCATAAATACAAACTGTGAGAGTTGGATAGGTGAAGAGAGTGAAGTAGAGTAGTAGACACAGTGCTAATCTACTTATTACTAACACTCTTGTTTTGTATATATATATATATATATATATATATATATATATATTCAATATACTTTTCAACCTACCTTCGTCTTCCATGTCTTTCTTTTTGGCCCCTAAACAAGACACAACACTAAGAGCTCTTTTTCATTTTTTTCACTCTTCTGTCAGGTCTGTCCCATGTCAATTCTGGGGGTGGCTTCATACTTTTGAACTGCAGTGTATATGAAGTCAATATATATGGATATATGAATCAACACTGTATACTGACTGTAATTTTAATTTTTATGCTTCAGTGTGATTTTCAAACCATGTCTATGTCTCACACTTCCTTTAGTGGTCTCTCTCTCATATATATATATCCTCCATAGGTTTACCCATACGGATTACCTAGTTTTTCATAAACTAACTATATAATATGAGAGAGAGAGAGACCACTGGAAGATGAAAAAAAACAGGTTCTACTCAGCTATTTTGTTTAGATCTAATTCTTTGATCTTCATAATCTTTAGATTGCTTATTTATATAAAATTTTTGTTATTTATTTGTTCAGTTGTGTGTGAGTGTGTCATCTGTTTATTTCAAGGTCAAGAGAGCAGTCTGAAGGGAGTGTAGAACCAAGATAAATGAAGTGATGATCCCTATTGAATGGATTATTGTTGATGTAGAAACTGGGGCTATTGGTGGTCAAGTAATGAGTTGGGCTATCACATGAGATTTTGAGTATTGATCTAAAGCATATATCTGAAAAGTCTTTATATGTTTGCTTGTATGTGGTATTTCCACCCACTCTCTCTATCTCTCTCTCTCTATATATATATATATATATATATATATGTGTGTGTTTAGGCAGCAAATTCTCATTTAGACATGTCTGATTGAATAAATTACAGACATTATGTCTGCTAATTTTTAATAAAATCCATTCATATTCACAAATAACGTTCCGTGTATTGATGTTAAAGGATGAGAGAAATGTGTTATAGCTGTTTAAATTTCTTTTATTTTCATTTATATATATATATATATATATATATATATATATATATATATATATGTGTGTGTGTGTGTGCTGAAAACTTGTCAGCCCACTCAAGAAGCCTTTC